TCCCAAGACATAAATATTGGAATAAGAAGAGTCTACCCTCGTAGATTGAATAAAGTGTTCAGTTCAGAATTTCTTGTGGGTTACCCGGATTGATATACACCTGATGAAGGCCGGAGGGAACAACAGTCGAAACACCGTGATAACGACAAGAAAAATGAAGACAGTAGTTTCTCTGGTTTGCATTTATTGTTTGCTTGTTTTATATTATTTTTTTGCCCTTTTCTTTTCTTTTTATTGCAAATTTTGTCAATTTTGTTTGTTGGATAGTTACGCCATTTACATTTAAATATGGCTACTTTCTCTACAATATTCGAGTCAAAAAGATGTCTGTTTACACTAGCATCAAATACATAGATACCATTTGGATTTTTACAACACTCAAGAAATATAGATACGTTTTACGCTGACACGTTTTGACATATGTTTTACACTCGAGTCAAAAAGATAAGAATAGTTTCATTAAAGACGATTAAAAGTATTTTATTCAATTTTATCTTGTGTTTAATGAAACTTGGATAAAAGTGGGATTTGCTGTCCAAATACACAATCGAGAAACACGTCACACATATTTTTTCCACTTTGTCATTGATTTTCCCAACATTGTTGGGTTTACGGTCACATCACATTAAAACATTGGTCCCGGAACGATTAACAAAGTTTAGCAAAGTTGAGCCTGCTCAGTACTTCGATAGGAATAGCAGGTGCTTTTGCAAATACCAGGTGCTGTAAGCTTGGATGTGCGGGTGGTGTAATGGATAATAGCTCGGAATTGTTAATTGGAGAGTCGAGTTCAAATTCCCATTGGGTTCGTTGTATTCACTTTTACACGAAGATAGATTTTGAGCACCAATTCCCCACCTATGGGTTAAATAATAAGGTTAATCACTAAACCATTATTACTTAAAAAAACTTACTTATCTAAAAATATTTTCTGGCTTTAAATAACCTGAAATAAGCCGTAGAAAACGAATCAACCAAACTGACTAAACTATCATTGTTTTGATGTATAAAAAAATATAAATCATTTTCTCTCTTATATAATAGTTTATTGATAAAACTTATCAAAACGTTGAAGACGTCGGGATGCTTAGCTTTAAATGTAAATTTTGTTAAGTTTATGACGCCAGGTGTATCTTTTCTAATATTCGCCCAATATAAGACCAAAGAGCGACACAAGGTAGAGCGTTACTGTGCTGTGCTGTAAGAGCGTAAGAAAGGACAAGAAGTGGAGTTCTTGGGTAAATGCAGGAAAGAATTCAAGATTTAATTAGTTAATAAAATTTGAGGATTTTAGTTTTAGACGTTAGAAGTATAGAGTTGAAGTAGACTTTAGAAGGAACCGGAAACCCAATCCTTAACAGGAAACAAGGGATAAACCTCTACTCCTATTTAAAAAAAAAACTATCTACTCCTACTGAAGGAAGAAAATAAATAAATAACATTTCAGAGTTTAGGAGGAGACGTTAGAAGTATAAAGTTGAAGTAGACTTTAGAAGGAACCGGAAACCCAATCCTAAACAGGAAACAAATGATAAACCTCTACTCCTATTCAAAAAAACATATCTACTCCTACTGAAGGAAGAAAATAAATAAATAACATTTCAGAGTTTAGGAGGAGACGTTAGAATTATAAAGTTGAAGTAGACTTTAGAAGGAACCGGAAACCCAATCCTAAACAGGAAACAAATGATAAACCTCTACTCCTATTCAAAAAAACCTATCTACTCCTACTGAAGGAAGAAAATAAATAAATAACATTTCAGAGTTTAGGAGGAGACGTTAGAAGTATAAAGTTGAAGTAGACTTTAGAAGGAACCGGAAACCCAATCCTAAACAGGAAACAATTGATAAACCTCTACTCCTATTCAAAAAAACATATCTACTCCTACTGAAGGAAGAAAATAAATAAATAACATTTCAGAGTTTAGGAGGAGACGTTAGAATTATAAAGTTGAAGTAGACTTTAGAAGGAACCGGAAACCCAATCCTAAACAGGAAACAAGTGATAAACCCCTACTTCTATTAAAAAAACCGGAGAAGTATATGAACCAATCGATAAACGAACATATCTACATCAATTGAGAGAAAATAAAGAAATAAATACTAAATATAATTTCAGAGTTTAGGTGGAGACGTTGGAATTATAGAATTAAAGTAGAATTTACCAGAAACCAAATTCTAAAAATGGAACCTGGGATAAACCTCTACTCCTGTTCATAAGCCCGGGGAAAAGTGTGAGCCGGGCGATAGGTAAATCTTTCTACATATATAACTTAGCCGACTTCATAATTTAAATATTGTAAATTCTTATTTTTATTCAATAGAAACAGGTTAAACTTTGAACATCATATTGGGTTCGATATATTTCAAGGTTCCTCATGTGTGTACCAAAATAACTTTCATCGTATCAAAAAATAGAAACAGACGGCAAAGATAAGCAAGTTAGTTTTATTGCCTATTCCCTAGGGCACTGAGACCAATCCTCACAAATTGCTGCACTCCAGTGGCCCTGTGCCAGACTAAATTTAGAGTAATGGTCACTGAAGCAATCTTGCAAGCTGTTATTACTGGAATGAGTATGATCTTCATTTAGTGTTCACTGAACATGGCCCTGTGCCTTGTGCCATAAGTGCTCTCCGCCTCTGTAAACGGGTATCCGCTGTGAATGGTATTTGCGACGTAATTCAAGACAACATGCTGTGACCATCATTTTCAAAAAACTCTCTCTCTTTCTTTTGCTGCATTATTAATATATAACTTTTTCTCTTTACCCCCTCTCTCGCTTTTTCTACTTTCGACTTCATTATTGTTAATTTCTCTCTTTTTCCACGTCAATTCTAGCTTTCATTTTTTTGTCTCGTTTCTTTTTCTACTTTCACTTTCGTTATCGATTTCACTCATTTACGACACAGATTCAGTTTTTCTTATTCTTTTGTTCCATTTTCTAATTTCACATTCATTTTGGTCGATTTATAACTTTCTTCTTGCGATATGGATTACTTTCCTTCATTTCTTTCTTTCTTTCTATCATTTTCTCTTTTCTACTTTCACTTTCATTATTGTCGAATAAATATTTGTTTGTGATATCAACATTTTTTCTTCTTCTTCAAATTACTACACTCTATTGCCCTTGTGCCAGATTAAGTTTAGAACAATGGTCACTGAAGCAATTTTGCAAGCCGTTATTACAGGAATGAGTATGATCTTCAGTTAGTGTTCACTGAACATGGCCTTGTCCCATGAGTTTAGAAAGTAGAGGTGGGTAAGTGATCAGTGAGATTATCTTGCAAGCTGTTATTATTAGAATGAGTTTGATATTAATTGGGTGCTCATCACTGAGGCCTTGTACCTGGCTGTGTCTAGATTTTTCATTAGTAAGAAGAAAATGAGAGAATGGGAGAATAGAGGTAGTGATGGGAGGTGAAGAAGAAGAAGAAAAGGTGATAAACGAAAACAGATATGAAAAAGAAGAAAAACAAGAAAGGCACTTGAAGAAGAAGATAAAGAAATTGAGTTGATAGACAAAAACAGATATAAAAAAAGAAGAAAAAGAAGAAAGTTAGACACTAGAGGAAGAAGAAGAGGAAGAGGAATAAGAAAACGAGGTGATAGGCGAAAGTTGATATGAAAAAAGAAAAAGAAAAAGAAAAAGAAGAAAGTTAGGCACTATAAGAAAAAAGAAAAAGAAAAGGAGATGATAGGCGAAAGTTGATATGAAAAAAAGAAAAAGAAAAAGAAGTAAGTTAGGAGCTAGAAGAAGAAAAAGAAAAAGAAAAGGAGGTGATAGACGAAGACAGATATGAAAATGAAGAAAAGGAAGCAAGGCATTAGAAGAAGAAGAAGAAGAAGAAGAAGAGAAGAAAAGAAGGGAGGTGATAGACAAAACAGATATGAAAAAAGAAGAAAAAGCAGTTAGACACTAGAAGACGAAGAAGAAGAAGAAGAAGAAGAAGAAGAAGAAGAAGAAGAAATCGAGGTGATAGACGAAAATAGATATGAAAAAAGAAGAAAAAGAAGAAAGTTAGACACTAGCAGAAGAAGAAAAAGGAAAAAGAGAGGCGATGTAAGAAAAGAGGAAGAAATGGAGGAAATAGACGAAAATAGGAAAAAGAAGATAAAAAATAAGTAAGGTAGAAGAAGAAGAAGAAGAAGAAGAAGAAGAAGAAGAAGAAGAAAGGATTCGATAGACGTAAATAGAGATAAAGAAGATGTCAAATGAGAAATGAATTACGGAGAACCACATTAATTTTGACCTTACGCAGCCGAGTTCATGATTTCAGTAAGAGTACAATATGGACTTTTAACTCCAACAAAGTTCGCTTTACTTCTTGCTAAGCCGTGTGTGTCTCCCCACAGCTAAAACCACTTTTCAAAATATAGTTCACAATCGTAGGGACCCCGACAGGCAGCTGGCCACATCGATGGGTGCCAACGCATTAATAAAGCACATCGACTCGTATACGCCTGCTCGCAGCCGAGTCATTTTGAGTCCAGTACCCGAGGAAACGTTCCATGAGGGACGCTAAAGAAAAACGCACGCCTTAAAAAAGGGATAATTAGTGAAAAAAAAAAAAAAAATAGGAAAAAAAGAAAAGAAAATGCTAATTTAGGGTGGACCACAATTACTTCTCCGCTCTCCGCCTCTGTAAACGGGTATCCGCTGTGAATGGTATCTGCGACGTAATTCAAGACAACATGCTGTGACCATCATTTTCAAAATCTCTCTCTCTCTCTTTTGCTGCATTATTAATATAGAACTTCTGGTCTTTTTCTCTTTACCCCCTCTCTTGCTTTTTCTACTTTCGACTTCATTATTGTTAATTTCTCTCTTTTTCCACGTCAATTCTTTCTTTCATTTTTTTTGTCTTGTTTCTTTTTCTTCTTTCACTTTCGTTATCGATTTCACTCATTTACGACACAGATTCAGTTTTTCTTATTCTTTTGTTCTATTTTCTAATTTCACATTCATTTTGGTCGATCTCTAATTTTCTTCTTGCGATATGGATTATTTCCCTTCATTTCTTTCTTTCTTTCTTTTTTTCTTTCTTTCATTTTCTCTTTTCTACTTTCACTTTCATTATTGTCGAATAAATGTTTGTTTGTGATATCAACATTTTTTGTCTCCTTCTTCTTCTTCTTCTTCAAATTACTACACGCTAGTCACCTTGTGCCAGACTAAGTTTAGGACAATGGTCACTGAAGCAATTTTGCAAGCCGTTATTACTGGAATGAGTATGATCTTCAGTTAGTGTTCATTGCACATGGCCTTGTGCCATGAGTTTAGAAAGTAGAAGCCGCTCAGTGATCAGGGAGATTATCCTGCAAGCTGTTATTATTAGAATGAGTTTAATATTAATTGGGTGCTCATTATTGAGGCCTTGTACCTGGCTGTGTCTAGATTTATCATTAGTAAGAAGAAAATGAGAGAATTAGAGAATAGAGAGGAGAAGAAGAAGAAGAAGAAGAAGAAGAAGAAGAAGAAGAAGAAGAAGAAGAAAGGGAGGTGATAGACGAAAATAGATATGGAAGATAAGAAGGAAAAGAAGAAAGTTAGGCACTAGAAGAAGAAGAAGAAGAAGAAGAAGAAGAAGAAGATGAAGAAGAAAGAGAGGCGATGCATAAAAAGCTGCAGAAAAGAAGGGAGGGAGGCAATAGATGAAAATAAAGAGGAAAAAAGAAGGTGAAAAATAAGAAAGGTAGATTCTTAGAAAAGAAGAAGTAGAAGAAAACGAGGCGATAGACGAAAATAGAAATGAAAAAGAACAACCCACAGCTTACGAAGGGCTTTATCTATGTAAAATATGTGTGGTTTTTTATGCCATGAAGCCATTTCTGATCTTAGGTCTCTGGTTGGGACCCGGAAAGAAATGTGTGTACAACAGAAGAAGAAAAAGAAGAAGAAGAAGAAGTGTTGATATCACGAAGAAAAGTATGACCCCTTCTTTCTTCTTCTTCTTTTAATTCCTAACTTCTTTTTCTGCTTCTTTTTCATTTAGTTGGAACCCTCAGATTGATTTGAAAAGATTCCAATAGACTCATTGAAGGGATTCCTGAAAGCCCATACCTTAAAGAAATACAAAACATTGTTCTCACGTGAGAATCCTTGTATTTTGATAGGTTTATGATGATCTTCAAAGATACATTGCAGTCTACAAGGGCTGTCATATTATTGTTATTATCATTTGTGTATGTTATATTTCTTGCTTTGTATCCTGTAGAGCTGGGTCCAAACTATGGTCCTTAGGTCCTATAGGAGAATTGTCATTTAATTGGTAGCACTTTTCTTAGTATATGGGTTGTTCCTAGTAAGGTGATCTTCTGGGCAACTTGTATGTTGATATTACCTCGGACACTGTTAGTAAAATTGTCCATTTCTTTACTCACGAGGCCCAGTGTTCCGATTACTATTGGTAGAGCCTCGGTCTTCATTTCCAACATCCTGTTAATCTCGATCTCTAGGTCTTCATATTTGGACAATTTCTTGATAATTTTCATGGAGGTGTTTCTCTCAGAGGGTACTGCTATGTCAATAAGCATATACTTCCTGAAATTCTTGTCTTTTATGATAATATCAGGTCTGTTGGCTTTTATTTCCCTGCCAGTTTGAATCGACATGTCCCAGAGGATAGTTACATCGTTATTTTGGTAACTGTGTCTGGTTGGTGCACATACCATCTCTCAGTAGTTTCGATTTTGTGCTTCTTGCACATATTCCAGTGTTGTTATTATTATTATTATTATTATTATTAAGTAAAGAGAGGAAAGGAAAATAAATGTAAAGACATCATAGTGGTGTTAATGGCATTAGACCAGCCAATTATTATTATGAAATAAGGTGGGGAATGCAGAAAGAATGAACCATCAACCAACTGATTGATTCATTCATTTTTTACGGTTTATCAGCCCTTTTTAGGTAATTTAAATCTAGGAAATATTTCTTTTAGATTACAAAAATTTTTGTTTTGGAGATAATAATAATTTGGTGATACATATCTTACTAATTAAACCATAGCTGGAGAGAGAAGAGGTGGATTCATACCTATTCCGGCCTAAATAAATTTAACAAACAGAACGAGAATTGGAACTCAGCTCATCAATTAAGCAAACCGAGCCATTACACCACCCGCACATCCAACATTACACCACTTGGGATTTCCAAATGTCCACGCATCAAAGTAATGACAAGGTCCGACGGTATTTAAATCCGTTGTTCGTACGGGAGCCGTTTTTTTTTCAACGTGATGTGGCCGTAAGCCATCGCAGTCAAAATGATGGTGTTAGACCTGACATTATTATTATTATTAAATAAATAGAGGAAAGGAGAAAGACTACTCTCATCGTAGTAGTAGTGATGGTATTAGACCTGCCATTATTATTATTATTATTATTATTATTATTATTATTATTATTAAGTAAATAGAGGAAAGGAGAAAGACTGTACTCTCATCGTAGTAGTGGTGATGGTGTTAGACCTGCCATTATTACATTATTATTATTATTATTATTAAGTAAAGAGAGGAAAGGAGAAAGACTGTACTCTCATCGTAGTAGTGGTGATGGTGTTAGACCTGCCATTATTACATTATTATTATTATGATGATTATTATTATTATTATTAGAAAAGTAAAGAGAGGAAAGGGTTAGAAAGACTATTATTCTCATATTATTAGTAAAGAGTGAATGGTGTAGTCTTAGTAGTCGTGATGGTGTTAGACTTGCCATTATTATTATTATTATTATTAAGTAAAGAGAGGAATGAAGATAGACTGTACTCTCATCGTAGTTGTAGTGATGGTATTAGACTTGCCATTATTATTATTATTATTATTATTATTAAGTAAAGAGAGGAATGGAGAAAGACTCTCATCGTAGTAACAGTGACGGTTTTAGACCTATCACTTATTATTATTATTAGATGGAAGAAGAAAGACTGTTCTATAATTATTACATCATTTATATTATGATAATCTTCTTCTTCTTCTTCTTCTTCTTCTTCTTCTTCTTTCACTCAGGAATCTGTATTTTCTCTCACTTTTCAACTTACCCGTTTTTGCAATTTAGGCGTTGGTCGTTTTGATAGTTGGGATAGGTTTCGCTATGGCTCGTGGAGATGTCATGCGGCACCCCCTTGCGAATTGCAGACAGCGATTGCTAAAATTCACTTAACAAGGCCGTTTTCTAAAGCCAAGTCGAGATCTTCCGTGACCAAGGGAAATGTTTTGAATTAATAAATAAATAGAATTAATTATCCCTCCCTTCTTTTGAGCTCCCTGATTTCCCATATTTGTGGCAGACGTTGAGCCTCTTTGGAAACGTGTGTTTGGTGCGTGTCTACTTAGAAACATCAGCCATGGCACATTTTTCATGAAGCTGGTTTGTAGTGAAAGGTGCCACACGATTTCTTTCTTTTACTGAAAGACAGAACGCTGGAAGTAATTGAATAAATTCTAAAGTTTAATAAGTTTTGGAACATGTGTAATTTTATCTACACAATATCTATGATTTTGTGAAAAGGTATTTTATGAATTATGGCCACTTTTGTTTAATTCTTTCACCCCCCCAAGCAAGGCGCTAAAGCCCCTAAGACACAAGGGTTTACTTGAAATGGCGACAGAACACGCCGTCAACGGCCTGTGAAACAAGAACGCTCAACTTAATCCTATAGTTCGCGTCCCAGCGTAATTAATTATCATTACATATATATATATATATATATATATATATATATATATATATATTATAAATATTATATTATTATATAATAACCATGTTTCAAAAATGGAAGCTAAAAACTTTAAATTTAATTATATAATTAAATCAAAAATTAATATTTATGTTCTGTAAATTTACATTGAACAATGTTTTGTAAAAATAAAAAATATCAATAAGAACACCGGATTATATATCTTACTGTTCTTTTTATATATATATATATATATATATATATTTAAAGGTAACAAATCCGTTGGTATATAATCCTAGTAATATAAAAATATTAGAACTGATCCACAAAAATAAGCTTGATGCATTTTATTTAATTTATACAAAGCAATATAATTAATAATCAAATAAATCCTTTTACCTCATATGGGGGAATAGGCTATTTGGACAAACAACGAAAATGGTCGTCTGTCTTTTCAACCGCGATAATTACTCTATTCCCCATCTAATGTAATAAAACAAACCTATTAACTATATATTAGTAAATATACATAATATCTTGCAAGTCGATAGCACGACTCGGGGTTTCATGCAGTTTTGCAATCTTCAGCTCTGCACTTGAAGATTGCAAAACAGCATGAAATTCCCTTGATTATTATGTGTCGGGCACAGAACAGACCTTAGTGACAGTTTCTGGAAAAGTGCATGTTATCTAGCGTAATCAACAATTTGAAAAAGGACAGCATTATTAAACCCTCGATCATGATGACTTGTGATTTTGTGCAAGCACAACCATCGAGGTCGACCCAAGGGTAACGTCTATCCAATTTCACTCATCCGTGGTATGCTTTTCAGGAACTTTCCAAAGATGCTCACTGGGATGGATCCCTCCAGGACACTAGAAAAATAGGAAAAAAATAGTCGTCTTTCTGAAAAAAATCTGCCATGTTGTGATTCGAAGCCGATTCTCAAGGTCAGAAGGCGAACGTTCTAAACATTCGACCACGCCCCCATAATGCATATATGTATATAAATGTATGCATGTGTATTCAAGTTTTCAGAATACATATGTTGAAAAGACAAAATGAAAAACATTGTCATTGCCGACGCGTTTCGTCATCCATCAATCAAGACAACAAAATAATATCACTTGCTTGGATAAAGTCAGATGACGAATGTTTTTCCTATTGTCTATCTCTGTCTGCCTGTCTGTCTGTCTGTCTGTCTATCTATCTATCTATCTATCTATGTCTCATTCTCTTCTGTTCATATCTATCTATCTATCTATCTGAGCGTGCTGGCCTTGTTCAGACTGGTGATCACGCTAGATAACGCGCACCCTCCCAGAAACTAACGTCCGCTCAGCATAAATGTAGTATAAACCACAGGTGGGCTCTGTGGGTGTTGAACAAATACAAATGTGCCTGAGCAGGTGCTTGCAACAGGGATTGGTTAGCCGCCCTAGTAGACGGGAATCCTCGGATACGAGTAGCCAGCCCTTTATATATATATATATATATATATATATATATATATATGATTAATGCAAATAAAATTTGTCACTTAAGTGATTGATGTTATAATCAGTAATATATTTTAATGGTTCAATCCACTTTTTCTACGGAATTAACTGCTGTTTTCTTCATTTTTCGTATATTTTTCGTATTTTTTTGTATATTTTTTGTACATATATTGTACATATATATCTTAGGAAATAACTAACACAAAGTGGAAAAACATAAAATTGTTCTTGATATATAACAATTTATCTATCGTTTTCATATATATATATATATATATATATATATATATATATATATATATATATACAGGGTGTCCATAAAGTTCGTTTGCGCTTTAAAAAATTTATAACTTTATTTGTATTTGCGATAGAAATAATCTGTAAAAAATGTTATAAATTTAATGTACCTAGTTTGAAGTATAGCTAAAATAACTAATGTGGCTTCAGGCATTACTGTAAATCAGTTGGCAAATGTTTTCCGTGAACTGCAAAATCGTATTACTCTTTGTATTGCTAATGATGGAGACTTAAATAAAATTTCAATAACACCTTAAAAACATAGATTTACTTTTTTCTAATCTTTTTTACAAATTATTTCTATCGCGAATACAAATACAGTTATAAGTTTTTTAAAGTTCACACAAATTTTAAGGACACCCTGTATATATATATATATATATATATATATATATATATATATATAGGGTGCCGAACACAATCCTGAATATTAAAATGTCGAAATCGTGAAATTTAAAATTCCAAAATTGAAATTCCGAATTTATAAAATCCCGGAATTTAAAATCCTGAAACCTCAGAATAATCTTTGGGAAAAATTAAAAAAAAAAATGAAAATTTATTAAGAGCTACAAAAGTCAGGAAAATGTGGAGAGCCATGATCGCCAACGTCGTGAAGGGAGGCGGCACATAGAAGACGAAGAAGAATGAGCTTGGCTGAATGGATGGCGGAACAGGGCTTAGGTGAGATAACAAAAAGATAAAATTGGTAGAGTGATATATATATATATATATATATATATATATATATATATAAGTGTGTGTATATATATATATATATATATATATATATATATATATATATATATATATAGAGAGAGAGAGAGAGAGATAGATAGATAGATAGATAGATAGATAGATATGATAGATAAAGAAAATTTGGTAATCCGTATGGATTACATCCTCCTTGGGATTATCCATACGGATTACCAAATACTTTCTTTAACTAACTAATTAACTAACTATATATATATATATATATATATATATATATATATATATATATATATATATATATATATATATATATATATATATATAGAGAGAGAGAGAGAGAGAGAGAGAGATAGGATAGGTAGATAGATAGATAAAAGAAGTATTTGGTAATCAGTATGCATAATGCCAAAGAGGATGTAATTCAGAGAGCTCAATGTAAAAACAGAGCAAATACTAATTAAATGAAGAATCAGACAACTTTAAGGGTTCATAGGATTATAGTTTATTTCCCAAAGAAAGGGATTTTCGTCCTGGCCCATCGGATCCCATTTCCAGGTTGAAACTTATATATATATATATATATATATATATATATATATATATATATATATATAAGAGTTGTCAGTGAATGGCGACAGTATGTTTCATGCTTGACCTCATTATTCAGGCCATATAAATCCGGTGGCAGCTCGACCGTTTAAATATAGTATACGCTAAAACGGTATTATTTATCATCCACTCTCTATATATTGGTTGGTGCAAAAAAATAATGACGTAAGAATGTCGTTTTTGACGTTAAAAATACGTCAAAAAACGACATTATTACGTCATTATTTTGCACCAACCTAATATAATATATATATATATATATATATATATATATATATATATATATATATATATATATATCCACATGAGTTAATTTTGGGTTTTTGCTGTATAAGATATATGTTCTGTTATAATAAATACATTGAGCTCTCTGTGGATCAGTTTTAATATCTGATATTTCTAGGATTCACCTGTATTATATATCAAAGGAAATATAACCTGTATTATATATATATATATATATATATATATATATATATATATATATATTTTAAAGTTATTTTTAAATCACTTTTTATTCCTCTTTCAATTTTAAATTAATATTTCATTCTTCATATAACATCAAATTAATGACATACGGTTAATATTCTGGTTTAATTTTATAAAACTTCTCATTAAGATAAATACCTTCCACCTTCCCCTGACCTCTGTCTTGCACCTTTCGACTGGCTGAAACATTGAAATGGATAAATTCGGTATTAGTTTTTTAACTATTTTTTTTCGCTTTCACGGTTAAATTTCCTTTTCTGACACGAACTCAGTCCACACCGGGGTTGATAAGACAGACGACCGATATCTTCCTCTGCCGAAATAGGTTATTCCCCATATGAGATGATTTTGGATTTTATTGTTTATTAATTATTTGCTCTGTAATAATAAATACATTGAGCTCTTTTTGTGGATCAATTTTAATATTTTATATTACTAGGATTCACTTGGATTATATACCAGCGGATTTGTTACCTTCACGATATATATATATATATATATATATATATATATATATGTGTGTGTGTGTGTGTGTGTGTATTTTTCTCTTCTTTTTTCTGTTTTCTGTCTTAAGTAACAGCGTCGAAGTGTCCATCTTGATCCATTCTTTGATATTGTCCATCCAGATTTTGGACTGCCGCCACTACGTTTACCCACTTCCAAGGTACCTTGAAGGACCGCTTTCATATACACATCTATATATTTGTCTGAGAATCTAAAACTGTAGTAAGGCGATGATTTTCAGACAGGAATTTTCTTTTAGCATATTAAACCGTTATTGAATAGTTATTTTCTGCAACTAAAAAAACAAAACAAAACAAGTACAGATAAACGGGAACCTTTCCTCTAACGAATCAAATTGGGTTTTAAAAAAAACTGTTATGTCGGAAACAATTCTTTCTGAAATTCTTAAGCTTTATCATTTTGTAAGAAAGAAATAAAAAAATGAATGGCGAAAAAAAAAAAAAAAATAGCTTCATTCCCAGGATCTTTTTCTTTGCCTCATTAAAGCGAATTTTGCCTGAATCTCGTCCTATAAAATGTTCTGCAATATTCTCGTAGACGCGAGACTTACCTTTTTTTTGAGATCTTATGATGTAGAAAATTGGATATCTCTCTCTTTCCTTTTGATTTCATGTTTCGTGTTTCTTGTCTATTAGTGCCCCACATCTTGATTGCTTTGAAATATATGTCTTTAGAGAAAATATGCCAGTATACTTGGGCCAATTCAGATTGTATACCAACTTTGGGCATAAGTTTGCACATATTTAAATACATAAATGTAGATATATATCTATCTATCTATTCAGATCTATCTTTTCATATGTGTATTTTCAGATCGATTTATCTCTCTTTCTTTTCATATCTATCTATCTATCTATCTATTCAGAGCTATATTTTCAGATCTTTCTATCTATCATTCTTTTCATATCTATACATCATTCTTTTCATGCCTATCTATCTATCTATCTATCTATCTATCTATCTATCTATCTATCTATCTATCTATCTCATTCTGTTCATATCTATCTATCTATCTCATTCTGTTCATGTCTATCTATCTATCTATCTATCTATCTATCTTTTCATATCTATATATCATTCTTTTCATATTTATATATCATTCTTTCATTTCTGTCTATCTATCTTTTCATATCTATATATCATTCTTTCATTTCTGTCTATCTATATATATATCATTCTTTTCATATCTATCTATCTATCTATCTATCTATCTATCTATCTATCTATCTATATATATATATGTATTTATATAAACATTATAAATTAACTGATTTAAAAATATGGTTTCATCGCTACACATGAATTACCATGTTTCAAAAACAAACTAAAAACTTCAAATTCAATTATATAATTAAATCAAAAGCATTAGTTCTGATTCATATTAATATATATATATATAATATATATATATATGTGTGTGTGTGTCTTCTTTTTAATCATTTTTCATCTAAGCAAGGCAGTAAAGCCACTAAGACACATTTTCTTGTCCTGCATATCTTTCCTCAAGGCAGCTGCAATGAGCCCTTTTTTATACGTCTTTTTTGGTACAGTATTTTTCCGATCTCTTAACATATATATATATATATATCTCTATATATATATATAAGTTTCATTAAAGACGATTGACAAGGTGCTGCGATTAAGCGTTTTTCAATTTTGTTTTTCATTTAAGTGATTTTTTTTACATAAAATGTGTAAAACTGTCCAGATGTTCTATATATCAGAGCGCTTTCGGCTATTCAATTAGCCATTATCAAGATTGTTTTTTTTTTTGACTGAATGTGTAGAGTTTTTTTATTTGTTTCTAGAGTGATGGGTATTTTTAAAACTATTTTTAAACGCGGTCAGCATATGTCCTGTAAGGAACTGCTTTCCTGATCAAACTACATTCATGAATAATTATGTTGGTCTTACCACTACATGCCTATCAAAAAGACTCACATTACACCTCTCTGACCGTAGCTCAATTAGGACATTTAAACACACAAGGAAACCTACCAAACTCCATCCACCCCATGCTCGGAGAAAATACAAATATAATAGCCACATGTAATTAATGGAAGCACTAATAATAAAAAAGAAAAAGACAACACTCAATAACATCAGCTATGAACACGGCCACAGTGTGTTGTCCGTTTTTGAAAAATAAAAAATTCCCATCACTCTAGAAATATATATAAAATCTGCACATTCAGTTCAAAGTAAAAAAAAGCAACATCCCTGATAAATGTTAATAGAATAGCCGAAAGCTTTTTAAACACTTTATGTCCAGAAAAGAAAACACTTATATGAACGCAAGAAAAATTAAATAAAAAGCTTAATCACAGTACCTTTTCAGACATCTTTAATGAAATATGTATAAAAGAGGGATTGCTGCCCAAATACACAATATCATATATATATATATATATATATATATATATTACATGAATCATTCATACAAAAAGTAGATTAGTGAAGTTAATGATATAAATGGCGAAAAACATCTTCGCAAACAAATTTATTAAAGTTACATTAACCTACGAACCACTCGATGAATGTTATGATCCTTGCTTTTAATACCTTCAAGTTGTATAAGGTCTTTCTTTTTATTTTGCTAGTACTTTCAGCTGTACATACAGCCATCCTCAAGCATGGAAATTAATTTGTTTTTTTTAGTAAATCCAGGTAGTAGCGGGACAAGAAAGAAAGAAAGAAAGAAAGAAAGAAAGAAATGGGATGGCTGTATGTACAGCTGGAAGTACTTATATATATATATATATATATATATATATATATATATATATATATATGGGATTTTAAAAGCTAAAAAAATAGAACAAGCGGTTTCGTCCAGCCTTATCAAGTTTATTTTCTAGGATAGAAAAAATATATAAGCGTGTAAATTAAATTAATATAATTCCATTAATTTAATTTACACATTTATATATTTTTATATCCCAGAAAATAAACTTGATAAAACTGGGACGAAAACCGCTTGTTCAGTTTTAGCTTTTAAAATCCTATATAAAATTTTTTGCCTATTCCTAGCTATCGTTAAATTTTGTACCATAAAAAAAATATATATATATATATATATATATATATATATATATATATATATATATATATATATATATATATATATATATATATGTGTGTGTGTGTGTGTGTGTGTGTACTATGACTTTGTCTTCTCTGTATCTAGACCCTTTACAATGTACATGCATTTCTCTAGTGAGTAAAAGGTGTTAGAATAAAGAAAAAATGGAGAAATGAATGAGAAATAAAAGCATGTAGAAGTCTTCACAGGAAAAAGGACTCATGGTTAATAGAGTATTTTCTTTCCTTTCCTCTTTGTCCAAGCGTCACATTAAAATGAGTAAAGGGCCCACGATTCCATATTGTCGTCAATTGTGAGGACTAATGTCGCCCGCTGTGAAGAACCTTTAGCTATTCACAGCGTTCAGACGACAACGGAAGATCGGGTCATGTGACATAGTTCGTTGCTCGTGGCATCATGGGAAAATGGGAAAAACATATAAAAAAAGAAAGATTACAAGTAGAGTTAAGGAACGAACGTATATATATATACATACATACATATATACATACATATATATATATATATATGAATATGTCTATAAATATATATAATTGTATCTGTGAACGCTTTGATTGAAAACACTTACGTCTCTGTAGTGAAAACCATCGCGTCCTTGTTAAATAACCCATCAGAACGAAAGAGGGAAGGGGTATGAAGAAGAATGAAAAAAAAAAGACAATAAATGCAATAAAAATGGGGAGCTATTACTCATATTATAAAAAATGGATCTCCAGGGCAGGAAAATGTTATGCCACGAGTACATTTTGGGTCATATAAAATACACAACTGTCGTAGTGCACACACATTTAATCAATCTCCACACACACACACACACACACACACACACACACACACACACACACACACACACACACGGAGAAAATTCTGTTCACTCACAAACGAAAGTAAAGCAAGCACATGAACGAACTCAAACGGGGGCAATTCCAATCCTGCATGCAAATAATTTTACTACTTTTCTACACGCATACACACACATGCACATAAGCACACACACATACAAGCGTATATATATATATATATATATATATATATATATATATATATATATATATATATATATATGTGTGTGTGTGTGTGTGTGAAAAATATATAGAAAATAGGAAAGAATTCGTTAGGTAAATAATCCAGAGTTCTTCAGTAATTTTATATTTATTTTTAAAAAACAGTGCTTGATACAAAAGTAGAGCCTAAATATAATTATTTATTTAAAAATATGATTCCTTCGTTACATAAGAGTTCTCATGTTTCAAGAACAAGAGATGAAAACTTCAATATAATTATTAGAATTAAATTGAATTAAAATAAAAAGTCCTGTTTCATCTTCAAGCGGAAATTTAGGAATAAATGAATCTTGAAATTTACGCGTCTTTATAAGCATATTCATTATTAAAATTAAATTACTATGGAAAAGGCTAGAGCAATTGTTTAAATAAGGGACGTAAGGGTTAATAATTTGTATCAATATCTCAGTTACTTTCGGAAAAAGGTCAAGTCAAGGTAGGGTAGTGGTTCCTAAATTAACGCGGAAGCTGGCATAAATTTCAAGAATTTCAAGATTAGTTTATTCCTAAAATTTCGCTTGAAGATGAAACAGAGCTTGGTATTCAATTTAATTCAAATAATTATATTGAAGTTTTCAGCTCTTGTTTTTGAAACATGAGAACTCTTATGTAGCGGAGGAATCATATTTTAAATAAATAATTATATATATATATATATATATATATATATATATATATATATATAAATATATATATATATATATATATATATATATATATATATATATATATATATATATATAAAGATCAATGAAAGTATTTTGTTAAGGATTTTTCAGTTTATTCTTTGTTATAGATTTCGGACCATTGTACTGGTTTTAGGTACACATCTAAATATAAATTACCCGGTGTTTGAGTATCGGAGAGCCGAGTTCGAATTCCAGTCGAATCCATTACATTCACTTACGTGCTAATAACTTTGGGAAAGGTGTGAATCCTATTCTTCTTCCCCGGCTATGGGTAAATAGAAGGACAGACCGGTTCTATAGCCTTCGATGGCAACTGGTCTACCTCAGAAAGAAATGGCAACCTACTGCCTTAGTATCTGTCTATATTTCTGAGATGAGGTATTATGTACACTATTTACATTATTCGGACTATTGTCCTCATCTTTGTCGACATATTTATTACAACGTTTCGGCTGTTATATGCTCTGGCCTTCTTCAGGTGGTTGGAATGTTGAACTGAACCCTTAATTTCGCTCACTGGGGTAGACTGTTTTAGTTCCACGTGCCATGTTTAATGGATGTCAGTTATCAGTTATCTTCTGTTAATTTCCCTCTGAAAGTCCTCCACTGCCTTAACCGGGTACTGAACTCACACTCTTTAGGCCCTGTCACTGGATCTAACCAACGCCTTTATCCACTTTGAGGAATAGTGTAAATAGTGTAAAATCTGCCTCGTCAGTCATGTATCGAAAGATACATGATCGCCTAAGCGTGTATTGCGCATGGCACGTAACTGACTTAGTGTTTGCGTGCTTTCGATATTCACAAACCATTATCAAAGGGTTGATTTTTGGTGCTATATCGGTTTCATTATTTTTAAATATTTCGTCTTCACGTAGCAATTCCTGTTATCGTTTATTATTAATTAAGTAATTAAATATAATTAACATGCATATTTGTAAATTTGATAACATCTTTTTTTTTTGTTGGATTGTTACCATTTCGTTTTTATTTAAGCAAACTTAAAAGACTACTTGTCAAATACACCCAATATATATATATATATATATATATATATATATATATATATATTATATATATATATTCAAATATAACGAGAACGAAAAGAATATAAAATCAAGCGTTCATAGCGTTCATAAAGGTAATAACTGTAATCCAAGCAAAATTCTAATATATCCTGTGTAATTGACCTATGTAATTGTAGGAGTCCTGATTAATGTCTATTATCAAACAAATGCTTAACGGAATCCATTGAATGTATGTGTTCTATTTCATCAATTGAAAAACCCTGGAAATATCAAATTATATGTTGGTTCCACTAGGAATGCCTTTAAAAAACGATATCATAATCATATATCTTCTTTTACTAGTACTAGCAAGCGCAT